ATCTATCAGTATAAAAATTAAAATTGTTGTAAGAGAGATTGGCTAGTGAGATTTCTATTAATTTGTTTGTTTTGTTACTTGGATAGAAGATTTTAGATGCAGGAGAATGATGAATAGGGATAGATGGTAGTATAGGAGATAGAGAGGAGGATAATAGGTATTTGACTGCTATGGAGAAAATAAGGTCTATGTAGTTAGCATTGAATTTGAAAGAGTTAGACAAAACTCTTCTGAAAAATTGTATAGAGGTGATAGCTGATATGTTGATAGTACAGGCTGAGGCTATTTTATTCGAATTGAGGTAGCAGCCAGTGCATAGGCTGCAGATCACAGGTGGAAGTAGGTAGTATTCCGTATTTTGAGTGTTAATATTCATTTGCTAGTGAGTAATAAAAATTTTATTAGAGTTTGTAAGATGTGTACGAATTTTGCTAATAATAATTTTATTGTTATTAAAAGAGAGTAGCAATGGCTTTGATTTCTTTGAAATATTGTAGATGTTATAGGCAAAAATATTAGTACCCTGTTGTTGGTATTGTGTAAGTAAGAAATGTTGGTGTTTATTTTCAAGAACTGTATTTTCAAGTATTTGAAACCATAGTGGTTTTTAGTCTTTGGGTAGACGCAAGAGTCTAGGAGATAGATGTTTCCACTCTAAAAGAGTAGTATTATCAGCTGTGCAAAGTTGTTCAAGGTAAAGTAGTTTTATATTTCTAAGTTGGCATTTGAAAGTAATATATTTAGGATTATGGATAAGTATATTTTTTAATAGTTGTAGGTTGTATTGAATTGTATTGGGCTATAAGATGTTAGAATTTGCTGTAATAGATATATTAAGGTATTTGAAAAGCTGGATAATTTTGAAGTTTAATGAGTGTCTATTGGGACCATCTATTATTGGTTGTAGATACTAAAGTATATTGGTAGTTGATCACAGATTATTTTGTAGTTGTTGTAGTCTAATATGGGTAGTGGTTCCTAAAAGGTAAAACTGTTTAGGTATTGAAGAAAGTTAGTTGTATGATGTTGTAATTGAATGTCCCAAATATTGTGGATATTGCATATGGGCAGTGTTGGCTTATGACCTTAAATGACCTATATGACCTTTATGACCTGTCATAGGTCATTTGGTCATAACGAAGGTTGATATGACTTTATGACCTTTTAATATAGTAAGATTCATAATAAAAAAAATTTTTACTAATATTTGATATGACCGATATGACTTATGACCAAAAAGTTATATGATTATATGACCAAAGTCATATCGAAAAAATGTTATGACCTATGTCATCGGCCAACACTGCATATGGGTGTATTTGACTCAACTGATATGCAAATATGATAATACAGAAGTAGATATGTAAATCTATATTTTTTATTGGATATCGAATTGCTACATTTCCTTATTTAGTAATAGTTAATCTTGCTCCAATCTAATTAGATAAATTTAATTGGCCAGTTATTTGTTTATATCACATTTGCCAAATGCTATCACCTGCACTATTACTGTTAGTACATACATGCTAATACCCAATGCGCAATTTTATATTTCAAATCCCACTTACATCTGAGACATTTCAAGATAGAAGTAAAATAAAACGTCGCAAAACTCTTAATAATTTCCAAGATAAATTTCAGTATACACCAAATAATATAATGTTAAATAGACTTGGACCTGAAAAAAAAAACATTAACAGGTGTTATTTGCAAGAGCACTACTTTGAATCCTCAATTTAATCAACTTGGATCAGAGAAAAAAAAAACATTATCAAAAGCACTTTATAAAAATACTATACCAACCTCTTTGGATCTTAATCTATATAAGCCATATAAACAAAGTATATATATTGAAAGCAAAGGTTAGTTACTGATGAATCTTTTATTTTTTATAAACATTTATATTTTATATATAAATTTAATAAATATATGATCGCAGAAAATTTCTCAACCCACAAGAATGGACATATATTCTATAATAACTTTCCATATATTAAAACTATACGTAGGATAAGTAACAAGAATTATTGGAGAGCTTATAAAGTAATTAAACTTGGTCATTATCCATCCATTTCAAGATTTACTCGAAAACAAAATAATATTGTATATCAAATTCTCGATAAATATGAGATTGAAACTAGTTTAGCAGGGTTGTCTGTAAGATATAAAACTCAGTATCAGCAAGCTAGTTATATTAATTATACAATTAGTTGTATAAATCAGAATGGTAATACAGTATCATGTAGTAGTGCAACCTCTGCAACTAATATTGGGATTGAATTTTTAAAGGTAATTATAAATTAAATAAAGAAAAAAACTATTCATATTTTAATTAAAAATCTTTTATAGAGTATTTGTAATAAGATTTTATAAAATACCGCCATGGCGATATATCGCCAGTCCCCATAAATCACGTGATTGTAAAATACGGTTAC